TTGCTTTAAAGTGCCTTAGATTTGTGTCACTGCCTATTTAGATTTGTGTTATTGCTCATCTACTTTATATTTCACTTGTATTTTGTGGCATTTATGTGGACGGCAAAGTAAGAATTTCATTGTACAGGGAAACACGTTTCCTAACTGTGCATAAGACAAATAAACACTTTGACCTTGACCTTTTAGTGTGTGACCAAATACCTGCAAATCTGATGTTCCCATCAACCTCAGCAGTTATTTGTGTTGTGTGATATAAGCTACTGTGTTCATGTATACTGAGGGTGTAAGGAGAGACAATGTCAAAAATACAAACTGTAAAGTCTTTAGGCAAATCTGTGTTTTTTGGTTCTATAAGTAAAACTGATGTGACAGGATGAATGTGCTAAACATCACCATGCTGTTGTGCACGTTTGCTCATTAGCCCAAACATTTTCAAATGTTTGGTGAAACAGAGTGAAAATAACATAAGGCACTTCATTAACCCTGCTGGCTACATCTGCAGGTCGTATTACATTTATTATGTTTGTAACACTTTTAGGAACATATTGAAATGACACATAAATCAGGAAGAGTGGGACATGTTGTGACACTTTTAAAATTTTTCTCATACTGACTGCAAATAATGCAACATAATAGTGAAAATGTAGCAAATAAAAGCTTAATCTTGGGAACATATTTCATAGTCCTTAGATTTTCTTTTACTATTTCAGTGTAAAGTTTTCAGTCATTAACCTCATAATGTGGACTTGTGATAACTTAACACCTAAGGAGGAATATAATCACATACAGTGGGTAAGTTGTCACATTGGCCTAGCAAACAAATAAGTCATTAATTGTGAACATGGATTTAATTTTCATAATGAAAACTCTAAATGTTCATATTCAAAATAAAATTATTATATTAAATGTTGTATGTCATTTTTAATTTGAGAACTGTGACTAAAGTCACCTTGAATAAAGATAAAAAAGTGTGTTGACACAGGGGAGTGTTACACATTTAGGTTCCTATGATGGAGAAACCTTATTAGTGTGGTGTTGGGCCACCACATGCCATCAGAACAGTTTCATTGCACCTTGGTATTGACTTCCCAAGTCTCTGAACTCTACTGGAGGGATGAATCCAACAGACATTCTCGCATGTGGTGTTTAGATTATGATGGTGGAGATGCTGCCTAACACATCGCTCCAACATCTCCCATAGATGTTCAACTTGGTTGAGATCTGGTGACCGTGAAGGCCACAGCATGTGAGCCACGTCATTTCTATCCTCATCAGAGCATTCAGTAACCCCTCATGTCCTATGGATGTGTGCACTGTCATCCTGGAAGGGACCACTCATTTATTCAGGTTTGTCATTTCATTTGTGGCTCATCTGTAGGTTTCAGTGTGGGGGAAAATTTTATAGTGGATCAAGATATGCTATTTATCCATACAGTATATGAACATATGCTGTGGTCTATAATTCACCATATAGTTTACAGGCTAGGTATAGGCATCAGTAGCCTATACATTGTAACTCCACAAGATGTTAAGAAAACACAGCTTTCTACTTTTTCGTTTGTCTAAATACGTTTGATTCGCTTACAGACTGTCACTTAACGCCCCTGCAGACCGCTGAGCAGCCCGTCTCTCACCTCTCTGCCTCTATCTGCCTCACTGCTCCGCCTCGGATGCTGCTACTGTTTATCACATTACCGCGACACAAGAGCAGCGTCTCCTTAAAGCGACACTAAAGCTTAATTAGACTGCCAGAGAGTGCAGAAGGAGGAGGAGAGAGACGTCCAGGATGCAGTTGAAGAGAGGGAACAGCATCCACAAGCCGCCTACATCTTTTCCTTGCAGGATGCCCCAGGTCGCCGCCTCATTTCACTGGGGTTATGGTATCTGAAATGTAATTGGATTCTGCATACCTGCAGAAAAACCTCCAAGACAAACCCTTCCTCATTTGCTCTCACGATCCCTGGACATTGTCACTGCGTCACATTCGTTCTTCCTGCGTCTTTTCTTCCGCAACCGTGTCGCTACTCATAGGTTAACAACCTTCATTCTCCCTCCACATATGGGTTTTGTAGACTTCATTGCCTCTATTAAAAGCGTCGATAAATCCGCGATTGGTGCGTCCTTGTTCTGCTTGACCATTTGCATTTCTGCGCTCCTGTTTGCCGGCCACGCTTTACCGCTGACGCGCTCCCTCCCATTCAGTCCATGAAAGCCGCTGTAACACTAGCTGCATTGGCGCGTCAACGCATGCACGCTTTCTCCCCCACATGAACTCTGAAATCTGTGTGAACCGTGCGTCGTCTCCGTGTCTTCGCCCTCGCTCTACCGCTGATGCGGTGCGTCTGGGGTCTCGTTGTTTCTTCGTCCTGGCCTGTCAGTCATCCTCTGGTCCGGGGGGGCTGCTTCCCGCAAAGAGGCAAGATGGTGCGGATCGCCAGCGCGCTGGGGCTCGTCATTTTCAGCGTGGCGCTGCTCATCCTGTCCCTCATCAGCTACGTGTCCATCAAGAAGGACTTCCTGCTCAGCACCCCCAGATACGGACCTAATGGAGGACCCAGGATGTACATGTTCCATGCTGGGTTTCGGTGAGTCCAGGCCAGGTTGGCGTGTATTGAAAAAAAGCAGTTGAATTAATTTGATGCAGCATGTTTCTCCTAATATGGCATTTCGTGATTTGCGCGTGTGTGTGTGGAATGAAATTAAATCATGATACATAATGTTACCAGAGCAATCTTTGACTTGTGATTTGTAGTCAAAATAATTAGACTGTGCCAGCAGTATGGAAAAACATATTTGTGTTATGAAATATCTTTATCTAATATGGCATTTCTTGATTTGCGTGTGTGCGTGTGGAATGAAATTAAACCATGATACATAATGTTACCAGAGCAATCTTTGACTTGTGATTTGTAGTCAAAATAATTAGACTGTGCCAGCAGTATGGAAAAACATATTTGTGTTATGAAATATCTTTACAGGTAGCTCAAGCTACCGCACGGTGCTGATCAGACTCAGCTGAAGGCCTCAGTGCATGAGGCCTGGCACGTTACGTTTTCATTCTATATAATGTATACAGCTTCATAGCCTGGTTAGTCACAGTGAGAATATGTTTTTGTTTAACAGGCCAGATTTAACAAACGTGTTCATTCTTATCATTTGTGCATTAAATAGCTAAAAATATGCCAGCATATGTCCACTGTAGTATCCATGTAGTTTGGGTCTGTACTTGGTTTGGAGCCCCTTAGTTCCAGTGAAAGGAAAATGAAGTGCTATTATTACACCACAGTTATATTTAAGACAAAGGAACATCTAATATTTACATATTTCCCACTGGACAGCTCACATTTGGCCCTTTCCTGTTTCAACATCATGGTGTTTTTATGCACAAATCCAGATTTCTTTCCCAGTTTGGTGTGATACCATGTCCAATGCAGAGACCTGATCTCAAACCCATCCAACTCACCCAACTCATGGGATAAACGTTAACACAGAGTTTTGGCCAGGACATAGCACCCAAGATCAGTGTGGGACCTCATTCTGCTCTTGTGGCTGAATGAAATCACTGCAACCAGGTTCCAGCATCTGGCCAAATGTCCTCCTATGGAGGTTCTGACAGCAGCACATCAGTTCCCATGGTTTTGGAATGACGTGTTCATTTATCACATATCAAAGTCCAAGTGTCCACATGTTACATGATAGCGAAATGTCAGCAATAGCTTTTTTTTTCAAAACCTAGCCACTGTAAAAGGTGTGTTCATAGTCTGGAAATCAGCTGGGCCCCAGCTTAATAAGCCTTCTATTCACTGGTAAAAAGAGGCAGACAAAATATTAGAACAAACATTTTCAGACCATTCTCTGTAAACCCTAGTGATGGTTGTGCGTGAAAATCCCAGTAGATCTGCAGTTTCTGAAATACTCAGACCAGCCAATCTGGCACCAACAACCATACCATGTTCAAAATGACCTAAATCACCACTCTGTCCATTCTGATGTTTGGTTTGAACTTTAGCAAATCATCTTGACCATGTCTACGTGCATATTACCATTTACCTGTAATTACTTACCCACTATTGTACCTTTACTACTACTTTTTGCAGTACTACTTTTAGAATTCATACTCCCACTGCTTTTATTACATATCACTCTTGCTTTTGTTATGGCTATAAACATTGGTTACTGATACTACCAGCAGTTACATGTATATACTGTATGTATAATATATACATGTACTATACATATTAATATTATGTATATTTACATGTAATGTAAAGTATTCGAGATTTGCCTGTATTCAGAGCAACTCACAGCCTTCATGGGCCAAGGTGAGATGACTGGTGACAATGTGATCACCAGAAGAAGGTACATTTCCGTGCTGAGCTAACAAACCTCAAATCATCTGCAGGAACAACACATAAGGCATTGATATCTCCTTATTGTTATATTTCTGATTTACGTAAAGCTAGTCATAAATGTAAATACATTAGTGATACATTTCTCTGGCATATGGTTGAAAAGAGGCGTTGTTGACTGCATCTTTCCTGCTTCTGATTCTAGACCGAACACCAGGAGAGCTCTCTGATACGCTTTTGGCAGGCATTCATGGGGCCACTGCAGTACAGCCCAGTGGAAAATCATTCAGTAAATCTTGGTCATGCAACATGTTTGGCGAGGTCCAGCGTGTGATGCTAAAACAGTGTCCGTCTGATGGAGGTCCTGGAGGCCAGTAAGCTGTCCCTGACTCTGATTTACAGCACGAGAGCTGCATGCATTTTCCTCTGCCTGTAATCATTTTTCTCTCGCTTGCTGTCACTGCAGGCCAAGGTTAGGCTCAGAGTGAGTTAGATGGGAAAGAGAGCAGCATTCTGAAGAAACACATTGCTAGTGGATGAATTTACCTGTTTCCTTCTGTGTTGTTGTACGGTGAGAATTTGGCATTTGATTCAGGGAATTTGTGGTTTTTCCTTGTATGCATTGCAAGCAATTTGTGGATAACTTCTATCTGACAGTCTTACTGCCCTTTAATACATCAACAGATGTGAAAAACTACTGGCCAGAATACAGTGAAAAAATACTGTAATTGGTGACCAGTTGTGACCCAGTGTGTGTAGCCCGAAGAGTTTGAAGCCATGCTGTCAGCTCCAAACCAAAGTACTTTTTACTTGTCAGATACATCATCATGGCAATTCATTCAGCAGTTGTTGAAATACTTCTCTCAAAGCAACAGATGTGAACCTCCTGTAATATCATATACAGTAAGTATCTGAAATACGGTTTGCCTTTGCTTACTAGGTCTTCACAGAAACGTTTTGGCATTCGCTTCAGTCAGTTACTGTTAATGTCTTTTTTAAGTAACTGATAAAGATATATATAAGTGAGTAAGTTTACTTTTAAACTTTTTTTGTTTGTGCTTCACGCCCCCACTGCAGTGAGAGGTCACCTCGCAAACCTGACCTGAGGTGAATACTGAGTGCTGACATGCTCATTAAAGTTATAAGGATGCACTTTGTCCTTTTTTCCCATTTTTCATATTTTTATTTGGCACTGTGATTATTAGCTCTATCTATCTATCTATCTATCTATCTATCTATCTATCTATCTATCTATCTATCTATCTATCCTTTCTGTGGTATGACAGAGAAATAAACAGCCTACCTCCAGCTGTTGAAGTGTGGAGGTCCTGGACATTTGTAGCAGCATTGTCTCTAGCCTTACTTATAACGTCAGCAGCAGCTTCTGCCTCAGCTGTTTTTGGCTGAATTTTTGTTAAGCCTTTTGGATGGTGTGGTGTTTTGATTTGAAATACAGTGGAAGGAATGGAAATATTGTCAAATTGTATTTCCAAAATATTCCCAGATTCTCAGACTATGGAACCAGCATGATCTCATTGGTTGACTCTTAAATGATCATGTGGGTATCCTGACCCACAATAGTCTTCTGGGCAAATTATAATTAGTATTTATTTCACACTGATCCTGGTTAAGCACTGCACCTCTCTGGCTGAGTCCCACTATCTAATATAGTGGACACCGCAATAACAAAATAAAGTTGCTGAAGATCTGCCTGCAATCGGATCCACCTACTTTGTTAGGGTTTGCTTTGGCCTGGATGAGCACCACAGAGGTGGAGGTTGGGTGGTATGAGAAGTTACAGAATGCTTAAATGGTCATGGAAGGTTTTGGTATTGGATTTTGTCGAAACCTAAGTGATCAAAGCTCTGACACTGTTTGCACTGTCCCAGTGTTGTAAACTCCACTGATCTGGTTCTTCTGCAGGATGAACCAAACCTACTGGCACATACTATTTGACCAGTTGTGTTTCTCATAGCAGAGTCTTGACCTGAAACCTTGACATTTTGACATTTGGTGGAAGGTAGTAGAATAACAGAGATGATTGAACCAATTTCCCTGATAGTTTAGGAATTCTGCTTGTTCTGCTTTTCCCAAATTCAGATCAAAAGATCAGTTTTTGGTGGCCCTGGATGGATGTACCATGAAACTTTTTTTCCACTTAAAACTTCCTACCTACCACCATTCATTCAGTGAGTGTGTATCTCCCAAAGTCTTGTGGGAAAATATTATTTTATTAGCTGCAAAGGACTGACATGTTGGGTTACATCCAAAGCCCATCCAGGACATCATGTGTTTCTGGATCTAGCAATGTAAACAGGTAGCTAACATCAGCTACTCACCTGACCTTTTAACCTTAGATTTTTGCTGTTTGTTGGCTCAAAAGCTAGTCACAGATCCTTCCAAATCCCAGGTGTGTTTTGCTGACAGTAGAGACAGACAGAGCTTACATCTTGTTACTCCACTATGAGTACTTGTGAGATACTGTGTGCAGTTAATGTGCCCAGCAGTTGTCAGTCAACTGATATCTCCAGTGCTAACTGCAATGGTTCATTTTTACATTTCTGTTTCTACAGCTGTTCAAACAAAATACAGCATATAAATCAGACAATTTTGGAGTTGAAAGGTCCATTCTTCTCTGTTTTGATAGAGCTAGGCTAGCAGTTTCTCCCTGCTTCCAGGCTTTGTGCTAGGCTAAACACATCCTGCGCCTTTTTTATGAAACTGATGCCCATCTTCTCATTTGACTCTGGGTCAAACAGAGAGCGTTACTTTTGCAAACTGAATGTTGTCCTGACCTGCAGAGGAAGTCATTTTTCTAGGCGCCCACACCATGGGAAATAAATAAATAAAAACTCAACTACATCCAAAATGTCATGGTTTCAGTGCAAAAATTAAATTAAGTGAGTTAATACATAGTTATACTCTTGGCTAAGCCTTGGCTTTAACTCATGGGGATTATCACTGGAGGGGATTTGAAGAGCTGAAGCTTGTTATACTGCAAAAATGTGTTCATCTTAACAAGTACTTTGACTAGTGTAAAAATGCAATAACACTTCACGAACACTATAAAATTTCACAATTCCCTTAAATGCCGTAAGCAAGGGATCATTTCAAGATGTGAACGACTGCTGTAAAACCTGAAAATGAAAAGAAATACATAAAACTGAATTTGGATGAAGGGTAAATATTTCATTCCACAATGAACAATCAATAACTTGCTAAGATGGACAGAATAGCTCCAGCAGTTTGGCCATGTTGCTGATTTTTCCTTGGTACATACAGTCATTTTATTCTTAGACTAAACTAGATCCATGAGTAGGAAAGAGGCTGAAATTCTGCATTTACACTGAATTGACAGTGTAAATGCAACTGTCTGAATCAGGTTTTTGTTTGTTTATTTTTTGTTTCCTATAGCAATATGACTTGATATAGTTGCTGATTGATAATAATGCTAGTTGTTTTCACCGTTTTAGCCATCATCTCTAAAACTATAAGTGTGATGCAAGAAGAAACATGAGCACTCAGACAATTTGACTGATTATAGAAAACGCATTATTTGGAAGGAAAAATTAAGGCAATCAGTAAACTATTATCCAAACAGTATGTTGTAAAGATCAGTCACAACTGATGGAGCGAGTTCCTACTTCATTGTTGCCCTGCTGTATTTACTTAGGTTGCATGCACTTACATTACACTGAAGGAATATTATTGACATTTCACAGTTTTATAAATTTACATGCTAGAAATTCTAACAAACCCAAGCAAGTCATTAAATCTTTGTGTTTTGTGTTCTTGGAAAAAAAAAAACACTTTTGGAATCGTGTTTGCCTGACTGGGTGAACTCAAAAACTTTCTTTGTCTTCTGTTAAGAAACCTTAAAAAGAAAACAAGATCAACGTTGCAAGAGCTGGACCGTTGCTGAGCAGATGCATTTGGTCTTGACTCAGTGTGGAGTGTTCCTACGCTGCATATGTGCACATGACTTTTCTGCATTTTTGCACTGCAGTTTCAGTTCAGACTCCATTGAATATTTTTTAACACTCCAGCTAAAATGGTTTAGATGTCTGGTTGTCTGACTGCTCATGTTTCTTGTCCCAAATTATCCTTAATGGCTTTCAAAGCTTCCAAATGAGGATGTTTCCTGCAGCTTGTGTTTAAAATGAGCTAAAATGTTTCTCAGAGCATTCTGAAGTGCAAGAGGTTGAAGCAAAGCTCCTCCTAACACAGGAAGACTGGATTAACCTGCGTGTCTCTTCCTCCTGTGCATAGCTCCCAGCTGGCGATGAAGTATCTGGATCAAGCTTTCACTCCTCTCACCAATGCACTCAGTGAGGACCTGCAAAACTCCTCGAAATGGAGGTACAACAGGACTGCGTTCATACAGCAAAGGTAGGTTACACACACACACACACACACACACACACACACACAGTCTCTCTCTTTTTTGTGTTTTGTGTGTTTTCCAAAAAAAGCATCTGATTTTTATTTCATCCATCTCCCATTACAGTAACATTATTTTGGAAGATTATGTTGTAAGAATAATGCTATTTTGAGAAAAGCTCAACAGTCTAATCTAACATCATGTCACTGTATATGTGCTGCCATTATTGTTTCTCATCTCTTGTAGCTATAAAACAACAGGGCATGTTAATATTAGCTGATTTTCTTTAGTCTGACTTTTACAAGCTTCCAGTAAGGATGCAGTAATAAACAAGTATGTCGTTCCATCCTGCAGGAAGGAGATCTCTCAGTACATCGACATCCCCCACAACTTCACACTGACACGAGGCTCGGTCCGAATTGGACAGCTGATGCATTATGACTATTCCAGTCACAAGTATGTCTTCTCCATAAGCGAGAACTTCCGTTCACTGCTTCCCAAAGTTTCACCAGTCCTTAACAAACACTACAATGTCTGTGCTGTGGTCGGCAACAGCGGCATCCTCACTGGCTCACGCTGCGGACCCCAGATTGAGAAGTTTGACTTTGTCTTTCGCTGCAACTTTGCACCGACCGAGGTGTTTAAGAAGGATGTTGGGCGGCGGACCAATATGACAACCTTCAACCCCAGTATCCTTGAGAAATACTACAACAATTTACTGACAGTGCAGGACAGGAACAACTTTTTTCTGAGTCTGAAGAAGCTGGACGAGGCCATCCTGTGGATCCCAGCATTTTTCTTCCACACATCAGCCACAGTGACAAGAACACTGGTCGACTTCTTTGTGGAGCATCAAGGTCAGCTGAAGGTCCAGCTGGCCTGGCCTGGAAACATCATGCAGTACATTAACAAGTAAGATACACCAGACTGCCACAGTACATTCACAAGATTGATTTACACACAGAAAAACTGCTGTGCTTTAACGTTAATAATAAAAAAACCCATCTCCACTGTGTATTACGTAAACGCAAAGACCCCATCTCCACTGTGTATTACGTAAACGTGGAGATGTAGTTTGTACCCGGATATTGACATCTAATCACAGATCTTTGTGTTTACACTTCACATTCATTCTTGTTCTCCTCTTAATTCTGCTTGTGCATCTGTGGTCAGATGCACTGTGATCAGATCTTAGGGTGCAAAGTTTCCAGATCTGTCAACAAACATGTTTGAAGTGAAGATGACCTTTCAATTCCATATGTGATGTGATCGGTCCAATTCATTTTGACTGCGAACCCAGATAAGACAGTTAAATACAGCTTGTATAGCTGTATAAAGATAGAGCTGGCATTATTCTATATTTCTATGTCTCCATGCCGAATTAGTGGCTGGAAACATTGTCAGGTTGTCCACCCACCTGTTTGTCCAGCCCCGTTCTTGTGAAAGCAATATCTCAGTAACAACTTGAGGGAAGTTCTTCAAGTTTAGCACATGCACACTGTGACTGAAGGATGAACTGTAAAGACTTTGACTTTGATTACCTTTGGTGGGCAAAGGTCAAGGTCACAGTGACCTCAAGTCTGTCCCAATTTTGTGAATGTGATACCTCTGGAACGCCTTGAGGTTTTTTCCTTTTGTTTTTGTTTTTGTTTTTTTCAAATTTGGCACAAATGTCCACTTGAACTCAAGGATGAACTGATTAGATTTTGGTGGTCCAAGGTCAAAGTTCAAGGTCACAGTGACCTCACGGCTGTCCCTTTCCTGGGAAATTGACTGGTTGGGGGAGACATACTACCACAAAGCAGTAAAAAGACCATAGATAAAAATGCATGATTCCATTTCTCAATACTTTTTGGATCAGAAATATACATACCTTTTTAATTCTTTTTAACTGTTAGACACTGTAGTGGTACTCAAACACAGTAATGCTACTCAAAAGAGACTAAATTGTGCATTTGCTGGGAACTATTTTCAGTGGCAGATTAATACATATTAGGTATTACAGTTAGTACTTCCACTGTCGCTGAGTGCTTGCTCATGGAGGATTTGGGGTTTTCTCTCTAATATTGAAAGGTCTAGATTTTACTGTGTAAAGTGCCCTGAGGTGATTGTTGTTGTGAATTTGACAAAACAGTGGCACATATCAGGGTTTTGGACACACACACAATACTTGTTAGTAGAATCAGAAGATTTTTGTTTTTGTAAAATATACACTTTCACCAGTCCAGCACTATTCTCTAAAAATCAAGCTTGATTAATGCTCAGGACATGTCTGTCTCACTATTTTAGTGTCTCTCTGTTTTTTAACTGTGCTCTGCATGGCAAAGAGGAGATTTGGGCTCCAAAGTCGGATTATAAAGAAGTTTAGTGAAAGGCCTGGTGCAGAGCTGTACAGTGTGTGTGGAGAGGGATTTAAGTCTGGTGCTTAATGTTGTAGCAGCAGAATAGGCTGTTTGTACAGTAGCCTAATCTTCACCAATCCCATTAAATCCACTTTCTCTGGAAGAATGAGCACATTAAAGCAGCTCAGGCAGCTTTTAGCACCTCAAGGACTCTTGGAGACGCTTTTGTTGAGGCCACTTTGGAGAGTTTCCCCTCTGTGATGCTGCAGACTGCGAGATCAGCAGCGGTCAGATTAGTTTTTTTCTGTATTTAACTCTTTAAAGTCAGTTCTTTCAGGAACAGCTCAGAATTTTTATGGAAGATGTAGAAATAAATGGAGAAAATTCACCATTAAGTACCATCAGTGCTCATTCACAATTTCTGATCACTTCTACTGTGTTGTTTTTTTTTTTAATGCTGTTAAGCATTTCTCAATGAACATGAACTACATCCAGAACTGGGAGAGACTGCACTTATTGAACTGCTGGGAAGCTTTTTTTTATTTAAGCATCAACACAGGTTGTGCTCAGACCAAACGGACATTGAGTATAATATGACTCTGGTGTTGTAGTAGTTGGATTAGTGCCATGGAAACATTATACTGAATTTATTGAGCCAACAGGTAAAATGGAGATTCAAACAGGTGAAGGTTAAGAAATACAGAGATTATTATTAAAATTTGATAAAAACATTTTTTAAACAAAAATTTGAAATTAAATCTTAACCCTTTTTAAATCACAGGGTTTACAATTTTCAAGTACCGGTATTTAATTTAAAGTTATTATCAAAATAAACCACTAATAAATAATAGATTGATCAGTTTGTCAATTAATCGGGCTGGTAGTTGCCATTTTTTAATAATTATCAGCGACCGATGTTTGTGCTCATGGGAAGCCAATTAATAAAGAATGTCAGCAGAAAGCCTTGTTAGTTTTTTTAATTTAAAATAACAAGGGGAGTGCAGATTGTAGGAAACAGAGACAGTGCTCACTTTTTTGTTTTGAGATACTTGAAATAATTCAATTATTTTCATGTCATTAGTTTTTTATTCAGCACATTTATGTTTCATTTGTTATTATTAAATTGTTATATTTTGTCTGATGCAATAAAGGCAACATGATATCAGCACTATATACCAGCCATCAGCCTCCCCACTCTTTAAAGAGTCGACCATGACTTCCATCCATCCATCCATCCATTATCTAAACAGCTTATCCTGAACAGGGTCACAGGGGGCTGGAACCAATCCTAGCTGACACTGGGCGAGAGGCGGGGTCCACCCTGGACAGGTCGCCAGTCTATCACAGGGCTGACACTTAGAGACAACCACACACCAACACTCACTCCTACAGGCAATTTAGAGTCATCAATCAACCTAAGCTGCATGTCTTTGGACTGTGGGAGAAAGCTGGAGCACCCAGAGAGAACCCCACGCAGGCACAGGGAGAACATGCAAACTCCACACAGAAAGGCACCGGGTCGGCCTGGGGTCAAACCTGGAACCTTCTTGCTGTGAAGCTTAACCATTACTTTTTAACATAAAATCTGAAAAACAATGACCCATAAATGTAACCCTGAAATTAATTTATTAAAGCTCTAAATTGTTACTGTTGGCACAAACTGAGCAACAGAAGTTACTTTTAAAGCCTGTGTTTTTAGCACTGAACTCAGTTGTTTTATTCCCTCACATTATTTACATTGCACCATTAATGTTAATTTGAAAAACTGAAGGCTGTTTAAATCGCTCCTTTCATGTGTCTTTACAGCTACTGGAAAACCAAGCAGCTGTCACCAAAGCGTCTCAGCACTGGCATTCTAATGTACACGCTTGCATCCTCCATGTGTGACCAGATTCATCTGTATGGCTTCTGGCCCTTTGGCTGGGACCCCAACACAGGAAAAGAGTTGCCATACCATTACTATGACAAGAAGGGCACCAAGTTCACCACCAAATGGCAGGAGTCCCATCAGCTGCCTGCAGAGTTCAAACTCCTCTACAAGATGCATATGGAGGGACTGCTGAAGCTTACTCTCTCACGCTGTGCTTAGGGTTAAAACTGCAGCGCTTTTTCAAACTCCTTTCCAAAGCCTCCATGGCGCTGTCAAAATGACGAGACAGACGGGGGCAGGATTCATGCGATTCTGTTAAAAGCTAAATCACAAAGCTAAGTTGGTGCAGTAGGTTATTACAGTAAACTGTAAGATCAATGAGCAAAAGCCAATATTTTTGTGCTCAGGATGAACCATAGCAGCTCAAGAAACAAGGAGTGTATTCATTTTCTGCTGTTCAAACATTTCCTTAAGAATGAAGGTGTGTTTGTGTGTGTTTTTTTTTTAAAGCCAAACTTTGTTCAGACTGACACTAGCATTGCTTTAAAAGCGCAGGCCCCTTGTCCATTCAGTGAAATCACTGTGCTGATGCAGTTTGTGTTCTAATGCAGAGGACTCTGGCAAAAAAAGTTCAATGTGGCTCAATATTTACCATAAACTCAATCACCCAGCAACACCCAGTGCTGACTAATCAGGTAATTGCAAGCACACATTGCTGGTACATTCCATTGTAGAGAAAGCTCTGATTTTGTGATGGTTTTCCAGTTTTGAAATGTTATGTGTTATATACTGTTATACAGTCTTTTGGCATCTGTGGGGCTTTCAGGTGAAAGGCATGTTCATATTGTCACAGAAAAACCGCTTTAAGGCGCACCTCGCCATTGGCGTGTATGTGGTGTTCATATCTGTGGTGTGCAGCACAGAATAGAGATGTGCTGGAAGGCTAAATTTGTTGAACATTGACCCCGCTGTCCTTTGTGGGCACAGCCAGTCACTGTCAACCACTGCTTGAACTGATGAAAAACTAATTAGACTATTCGTATTTCTAAATTTCCCAATCTGTAACATGTTAGCCTTATACCTAGACAAGACAGACAGGCAGCCAATTTAACTGGCAAATTATCAGCATGCAGGTGCAGCTATACTAAAAGAAAAAAAAGAAAGTAAAAGAAAAAAATAATGCTTGAGTCTTTGAAATGTAGCAAGCTATTGCTAGCAACATTAGCACTGTAGCTAAGATGACGACATCTTGTACAATGTCCCCCAGAGGTCAAACTGCGTATCCTCAGTTTTCCGTGATAATGTAAGCACACTTTTAGGGATCTTGTATTCAAACTGCACCTGTAGAAGCAAACTGTCACCAATGAAGGTCCTTACTTTTTCTTTTAACACAGTGCTGTTTTAGTCTTTTCGGTTTGACAATGATAGCTTAATAGTTGAGGAGAACAGGACTGTGTTTTTTTTGCTCCACTGCTCCATTTGCCACTTTAAGTCAAGTACATATACATGTTAAATTTAGCCACGTGGTGGGAGTACTTTAAATAAATAAATAAGTCCAATATTAAAATAAACTAACCATAGATTAATGTGGTGTTTAGCAATTTAGTTACAGGTTTCTGAATTTGAGCATATATATTAAAGCTGGATTCACAAAATATTTTGGTTAGTCGGGGCAGAAGAACAAGTCGAAAAGCAACGTAGATGCTTATAAACCCTATGCCCTATAAGACAGTAACTGAAAAAGATGTCTAAGGAATTTGCATTTGAAAATTAGTTTCAGGCAACACAGCAATATTTTAATCTGAACTGCTTTTGGATATTTAAGTCAGTATTATTTATTTGTGATTTGAAATACGTGTACTTTGTGGCATGTTTCACATTCTATATTATAAAGGTTGGAGTCTGTATTTTGCAGCTGATTGTATGACAAAGGGACATTATGTGACTCATAATGCCCCTTTGTGCAGCACACAGCTTTCATCTTGAAGAAATAAAATAACCATATATTTGCAGTTTCTGGTGAGCAACAAATACCAGAAAGAAAAGATTTTGGTCTTGATTCCTAGTTCTCACTATGTTGACTTGTCTGTGTAATTTTAATGTGACAGCGTGAGAAAAGTGGGATCTTAAGTAATTTTAAAACAGCAACATATTCACAATTACACTTTGTACATATTACACAAAACATGCATTTTTGCACAGTGTCTTACAAACAGACTCTATTTCTAATTTGTTTTCATCAAACAACAAAGTACAAGCTGGGGAAACCAAAATAAGTACAGATGAACTGTTCTGGCTTTGGTAACCTTTTGATTTTTAGTCAGGTTTTAGTTCAATGACAAAATCCACCCAGAGTCCACCATTTTCATACATTTGGTGACAACAACTTTGGCCCTTTTGGCATTCCATGGATGTAAATAATTAAAATAAGTACAGTTGTACAAACTACATGTACTATTGCTTTAATATTTTGCAGGTCCATATGATATTTGCCATTTGTAATTACTGAAGCAGATTCATCTGGCTTTTAGACACATCAAGTATGAATTATCATATTTGATGTGTTGTTCAGTGGAGTTTTTCATGCATGTTCATGCTTGCTGTAATGTGTAGGTGAGACATAAGAAATGAAAGAGATTGGGACTATTTTTGTAATGTACATCTCAAGAATGTATTTTTGGCATTTTGAACAAAACTAATGAAACCAGCTCCATCTAAATCAAGGTCTCTTTATGAAGAGTAAAGGTACATTTATATATTATATCACAAACATTATAGATATGAAGATGAACAAATGTTTTATTTATCAAATACTTGATAGAAAACATCTGTTTCTGTATTTATTTAATAATCTAGCCACTGAAATGAATGAAACTATCAATTTAATAAAATAAATCCTGTTTTTTTATGCTAACTGTTTTTGAACACTGAAGTGTGTTGTTAAAGGTGTTTTCAAACCTAGTTTGTCTGAATCAGTGGGCCAGTTTGTAAGCTTGTTCAGTTTTCCCCTTGGTTCATCTTCATTTCACACCAGAAACCCTAAACCCATCACCAGATTATGTGAGTAATTTTTACAGTACATTCCTTTTGCTCACTGGTTAAATGAGCCTGGGGTGGGAATGGGAATGAAAACCACAGGATGAAGACCTGTGTTCTGTACTGTGAATATTCTTGTGAAAGAAATTTGCTCTGTAACATAGAGAAACAGCACAATTGTCACAATTTGCTCATAACTGGTAATTATATGGGCAATATGCCAAATAAAACTATGCCAACAGGATGCCAATGGAATAAAGTCTGTGCTGCATAACTGTCATTAATGCTCCTGCTGTTTGTAAGTACTTTTGTTTGTTTACTGTCCTGTGAGATGTGAAGACACCTTTAAACAATATTTTATGTATTTGACATTTGAGCTTTGTCATGTTTTATAATCCATTTTTACAGAGGCTGATATTTGTCCTGATGATGAGACAAATAATATCAGCTGACCACCTCTGGACACACTGGATACATCATACAGAAGTAGCCAAGGTACAGTAGCCAGGATGTGTCAAGAGAGCTGATAAAGATAAAGAGAGTCAGATCATAACACTATGTTAAGAGTTATACACAAACATCCTTTTACTTACACTGAACACAGAACAGAAAATTTAAAAATGCACTGAAGTGCTGGCCTGGTTTGAATTTTAGTTTGAATATATCATTTTTATCAAGTCAGTTTTACCCTCTATATTATGCTATAAAAAGTATTTTAATATCAGTTTAATTCTGACTCCTTTTATGATACTTTTAATGTTTTTAAATGTTGGTTTTAAACCCCTGCTGTTTTTGCTGCATTGTTTTTTCATTTAATTTTGCATTAATTTTCATTTTTTTGGAATAAAACTAAAGGGGCGACGTGCTTGTTAGGCTGTGCTCAAATCCACAGTAAGGTGTTCCACAGTCGATGGATGGAACTATGCTGAATGGATGTGAAGTTGGTCCGTGTAGACTGTGGTTTACTGGACCTCTGAGCTCCAGTAAACCTCCTACAATTAAGTATGGACAATAAATAAAGAAGGAAAGAGGTGTTTGTGGTTCCCCCTAGCCATTAAAACATCAAACTGTCAGCGTGTTCAACGGTTCTGTTCACAATCCCTCTAAAACTAATGACAGAGCTGAGTGTCACATGACCTGCTTTTCCAAGTCTGGACATTGACAGAATCATTTCAAAAAGTCACTTGAAAGGGGTTTAAAAAAATTTTAAAAATTGATTTTTTAAAAATTATTTTATTA